TATTTCAAAAAAGTAATTTAATATAATATTGTACTGATTTTGTGCTAAAAAGAAAAAAGAATGAATAATGCATCATAAAAATAACTTTTTAAAAGTACAAGAATCAAAACGATTCAAAAGTACAAGAAAGTAGATTTGGAGTACATTCATCAAAAGAATATTTTAAATTATAGGGACAAAATAGTATATTTAAACTAAAATAAAAAAGTAAATTATTTGATGGGTTTCTTAAGCTCTGAAAAATTTGCAACTCAATTATATATAATGCTTAAGATTAAAGTTAAATAAGAGCTTAACGAAAATAATATAGAAAAAGGAAAAAGGAATGATTGTGGGTTAATTATAATTAAAAATATAGAGTATAGAGAAATTGATTAATTTAGTCCTCAAAATCAGATATCTGGCTACTCTAACTCTATTCAGACAGGAATGCTTGTAAGAGGATTCCCTTCGTACTTACGTGGCACCATGTAATTGGTACGGAGAGAAGGCATGGAAGAATTTTTATTTTTTATTTTTTAATTTTTCCTGTTTACAAACATCGAGGTTTCAAATTGAAGTGGTACCCACTTTAGCTTCATCTTCATTATTGCCAATACTTTTACACTTAAGGTTAAATTATAAATTACGCTCCAGGTGATACTTATTACTTGTCTGGGATAATTAGGCAATCATAAATAAAACATTCATCTACTGTTAACCAAGTTAATTTAATTCAAATTAATTTAATCAACATGTGATGTTAATATTCTGACAAATAATATATATTAGACATGAGAGAGTAGTCCGTGTATCTTTTTTAATATGTCTAATCTTACCGATCCTATTTTATATATCAATTCATAGAGTTATATCTCAAAATTAATTGGTAATAAAAAGACTGTCCATACCTTTTATGAAGTTTCTTGTTAGGTCTCTCTTGACCTTTTCAATTCGGTGTAAAAGGAAACTTTGGACTTTAGATTTTGGAGTCGGTACAAGGGTTCGTATCCATGAAAGGATCTACTGTGACTGTCTACTAAAATGTTTTAGAGGGTTTTATTTTAGTTTAATGAAGGGGGAAAATAGGGAATCAAACCTTCATTTTTTTTTACTTTTTTGAGTTTATTAATGATTGGAGAGTGAGGATTAAATTATCGAGTTTTTGGAATTGACAATCAATAGAGTTATACGTCGGAATTGACACCCATTTTAACCGTAACAAGCTTGACACACAATGCTAATAAACCTCTATAATTTAACCTATGTAAGAAGGTGTAAGAATATTTATTAAAATAATGAGTAATAATTGCAAGTATCAGTGTGACAGTCTAAAAGATAAATAATACATTGGTTTAAGTAAAATAATTGGGGAGATGATTGAATAAGCATTGCAGAGAAGCATTTCTCCATTAATAAAGTAATTAATTAAGGGTGGAGAATTTTGGAAGAGTGGATTGAACATGCACCACACTTGAAACTGTTTGGATGGATATTAATTAATAGTTATGGCAGCCATTGTAGTCACATTTTTCAATGTACACACTCCAACAACTTAAGGTATTTTTAGAGTTAATTAAAAAAAGGAGTTTGGTTTGCTAAAAAGTTGTTTTTAGAACATTATTTATCATGTTATTAGCCTTGCGTTTTAATCATTATAATGTTATATTTTTATTCTAGGGTTTTACAGAATTGGGCTGATCGATGCATTTGTGTGTAAATTCTTAGATTGTTTTCATCTTAAGTAGTACATATATATAGAAGGTAATCTCTTTTTTTTTTTTTGTTTTAAAAGTTGATATGGGAGCTCTATTGAGTTGATTGTGTTTGGATATCTTTTAAGAAGTTAAAAATTCTATCTGTTCCTGTTTTTTGTTTTTGAAAACCATGAACATTGGTGATTGTTTCTCACTTTTAAGAAATATTTTTAAAATTATCTAAAATTTTGGAAACAACGAAATAAAAGAAAGTTTTAGTTTCTAGTTTTTTTCAAAACATAAATAAAAGTATCATTTTGCTGTTCTTGAATAATAAATATAATATTTAATATTTAATTAAAAAAACTTTTTAATTTAAAATTTGAGAGAACTTGAAATAAGAAAAATGATTAATTAGAAAGTTCACGAAGACTTTAACGTTATCATTTTTATTAAATTCTCTCTCAAACCTAACCTCGCCCCACTCTTATACCTTGAGCTAGGAATATTTTCATTTTTGTAGATGTTGATAATTATTAATTTGTATACTATATATTAATAATCATGATGTAAGTACTGAAATTCGTAAGTGTAAAATAAACTCGATAGATTTTTAATTAGCTTGGTTTTCATGATCTAGTTGTATATAATAATTCAAAAAAAATTAATAATAATAAGTGTATAGAATAAAGTTCATAATTAAGGAACCATTCCCCATGATGAAATTCTCCAAATCTGCCTTGATTATCTTAAAATAGTGATTAGGGAGAGGACATACAACGAAAATCCGTACGAAATAGGGATTCACATACCTACTAAATTTAGCTTTAATTAGAATTTATGGACACTTTTTCTAAAAGGTTTTAATTAAAATTTTCAGTCAACATTTTCCATCTTATACGAATATATAATTCCAATTTGAAATGCCTCCAAAATCCAAATTTCTATTTGAAAAAATCATTCTTATTTATTAATTAAAAAAAACTAATAAAGAAATATAAAATATAATTTTATAAATATAAATATAAAAGTAAAAGTAAAATCGTAAACAATAAACCTATTTCGTTAAATAATCTACTATTTTAGAAAATGTAAAATTCAGGAGAACTGATTTGGAAATATCAAAATAAATTAAATGAAAGAACTAATTAATTAACAATCAAACATTGAACAATCCGTACATACCTTTTTCATTTTATCCCTATTTGTTCCGCGATTTCTACTTTACAGTTTAATCACAAAATATAATAATGAGGAATATATCAAAGTGCCTTTGGAATGCAAAAAAGGCATCTATTAGAAGAATAAATAAATTCCCATTTAAAATAATTATCTTTCGAAAAAAGAAAAAAAAAAGTTAGGAAGAAAGATTAGACAGGTGATGATCAGCTAATAGTGTAGTTTTGCTCCTTTTAAGATTAGTTGACCCCTTCCCTTTTACATAATTATTTTCTTAATTAGAAATAGTATTGATTAAATTAATTAAACACATTGATGAAATTTGGATGGCCTTCTTGTCCCATTTCTCCAATATCCAACAATAGTGTTTTAAATAATCAGTTCCAAAGCTCAAGTGGCCAACAAATAAATATGGGGATGTCACCCTTTTCTTCCCTCTCGTGGGATTATTTAATTCACATCATACTTAAAATCCATAAAATATATAATGGCTGCCAATAGTTGCAACCATTTATCTCTTCATCAAATTAATTATCAATTACCCTTTCGTTTTATTGGATTTGTAAAGAGTGCAAACAAAATATCACATTGGTCAGAGATCAAGAGAGTCATCGATGATATATAAGAGAGAACAATTATCTCCATTGGTATGAGATTTTTTTTGGTGAAATCAAAAGTAAAGTCGTGAGTGTTATGTTCAAAGAAGATAATATCATACCGTTGTGGAGATATTTAGCGCTACGAGGGTACCGTTGTCCTTAACAAGTTGAATCTCAGAGCTATGGTATAATCCTAGTTGTGTTTTTGTGAAATCCTCGGGTGCCCAACGAAGAAGTGATGAGCCTCAGATGGTGTGTTCATGGTGTGATCCATGGTTGTCCTCTATCAGGTTGTGCTTGGAGCTTTGTAATAAGAGTAAGTTCTTATTGTAGCCCGAGAGTGGACAGATGGATGACTATTCTTGAGAGGAAACTCGATGGTACCTTTGTTCAAGAAGATGATTATTGGGTTTGTAAAAAAAGTGCAAACAAAGTCTCGTATTAGCTAAGAAATGGAGTAATCTATGGTATATAAGTTGATGCAGAAATTTGGCCTTCACTTTTTGTAGCTAAGTTGCAAAGAGATACCGGGACCATCATGTGTCAAATTTTGGACTTGGGGCATTAGAATTAGTATTTTTTGTTTTTTTGGTCTCGAGAAGGTGATTTCTGGTGTGATTGGGAGAGTGATAATTAGGGTTGGGGTTGTGGGGTCGAAATGCACATCTGGGACAAGGTCTACATGTCGGTTTGCACGGGCAACACAAAGAAAGTGACCAAAAAGGTTAACCCAGGTGATTTATATATATATTATATATATTCGATTAGTTAATCATAATTGCGCACTAGTGGTCGACATGTCGTGCCCTCTTACACTTAAACAATTCAAACTCCATCTCTCTCTCTTTTAGGGATAGTTGAAGTGTTGTATTCCAGTGTCACCATATTCCTTTGTTTTCTTCAGTTTTGGAATATACTTCCCTTTTTATTCTTAATCTTCTTCCATTATCTGGACCATTAATTGCAAATCCCCATCATTGCTCCAAATCTCCTACTTAATCACCACATTAAATTTTCATCATTTTCTTTAATCACATCCACGGTATCCCAAATATCTCCGTAATAGTACCATATTGTTTGCTTAGCATTAGTTTTAGAGATAATTGTCTTATCTAACCAATACGAGACTTTATTTGCACTCTTCTTGCAACTCGTTCTCGACCCATGATATAAATTTTGTTAATTCAATCATTAATTGGGAGATAATGAATTCTCTCAGGGTTCGTTTTTATTAACTAAACAAATCCAATCATCAAACAAATATAAAAGAGAGGAAAAAAAGGGTTTAATAATTATCTACAACAGCTGATCTTTTGTCGTATGGAGATATTAAAGAGATGGAAGCCATCTGAGAGTAATAAAAAATTGAAGGATGGAGGGACGAAAGGAGACGTTTGAGAATAAAATACTGAAAAATGTAGTCCATTTAGGGAACCTAATGCCATTAATTATCATTATTAAATCATCCACCCCTTCTCCCCTCCAGTGTTTATAAACTTGATCACAACACTTACCCCAAAGCACAAACACAAGCCTTGGCCTGGCTAACAGATCATCCCCTCACCAAAACTACTACAAGTAGTAATCCAAAAACAAAAAGAACAAGAAAAAAAAAAAGAATCCCAAGTACCAAAAGAATGACAGGTTCTGGTTCTCCATGTGGAGCCTGCAAATTCTTGAGAAGAAAATGTGTCAGAGGGTGTGTTTTTGCACCTTATTTCTGCCATGAACAAGGTGCCACCCATTTTGCTGCCATTCACAAGGTTTTTGGGGCCAGCAATGTCTCTAAGCTTCTGGCCCGTCTTCCACTCACCGAGCGCTGTGAGGCTGCTGTCACAATTTCTTATGAGGCTCAAGCTAGGCTTCAAGATCCTATCTATGGCTGTGTTTCCCATATCTTCGCCCTCCAACAACAGGTGCCCTTCTTCTCCCTTTATTATTATCTTACTTCCGCTTTAGGTTGCAAAATTTGAATTTTTGGAGTCCGTTTGTAACGTTCATGTTTCTTATTTCTGTTTCAAAATGAATTGCATGGCTCTAGCATCCATAAATCGGATAAAACAATTTTTTTCGTTATATTTTGGAACAAATTGAAAATAAGAAAAAAAAAGGAGATGTTTTGGTTGTCTCTAAAATTTGTTCACAGTTGCCAGAATGTTCCAAAAAATGAGGAACAAGATACAAAATTAGTTGCAAAAAACTTAGATTTTTTAAGAAAATTGAAAAAGAGAAACAAGAAAAGAAAACATTACCAAATGGATCTTTTAACTTTTGACGAACATGTTTAATTTGGATTAGTTGAAAACCCTAATTCAAGATTGAATTTTTCGTAAGTTTAACAGTAATTTAACATGATTGTTCCTCAGGTAGTGAATCTTCAAGCGCAACTCGCTTCTCTCAAAGAGCAAGCGGCGGAAAGCATTATGAACGGTGGCTCCGATAACGGGGGAGGCGGTGTCAATGAGAAGAGTTACTGCAGAAAGGTTCCTTGCCATCCACAAGATCTCCATAGCTGGTTTCAGTCGGGGCATTTGAATAATGTAACACCCGAGTTCAATCCGAATCCGACCCACAACCCATATTGCGATGAGAACTATCGCATTATGGTTAATTCACAATCCAATGGGAATTATGAGCATAATCACTTGGCCAAGATGGAGGAAAGTGGGTCTTATGGAAGCTTTGAAGAAACCTCAGCTAATTATTCTATGTATTCTCTTGATCACATTCAATCAAATGCCCAACAATGGAGTTTCAATGAGTCTGCAGATGACTTGCAATCGGTTGCTTTTGGCAATACTCGACATTGGTGAGAAAATATTATGAGTTTGAACTGTTTTGATATTCAAAGTTGGAAATTAATGGAAGTCTCTCTTCTCTTTCTTTACCTTTTTTCTATATCAACAAAATTATATCATCAATTTTGTCATCTGAGAACATTAATTTTCACTGGCATGGGAAAAAAGAACTCCACAAAAATATACAGTGCAAAAAACAATAATTCATTTGTTTAATTACTTTGTTTTTCGTGTAATCTGATAATTATGAGAAAGGAATAGTTAATAGTTATATTGTGATCATCCCCAGAAATTTCCTCACTTAAATATAGGTAGCTAACTAATGCAGATCCCAAGACAATTACCAATTACAATTCTGTCTTTTCACTGTTTTGTTTTCTTTTTACTTTTTAGTATTTTGGTAGAAATTTAATTTTCTCTCTTCCATCTGTTGGGATAAAACCTAATTTGTCGTTTCCTGCCTCCTCAGTCAAATGTTTGGCACAAGCAATGTTTGCAAAGAAACCACCACATTTTTGTTCCTTTCTTTCTAGAAAATCACAACTTTTTCAACAATAACATTATCATACCCCACATGTGTGAAGATGAATCGTGTTTCCCAATCATCTCTCTCAAAGATGAACAAAAGTTAATTGTGGCCGTAATTTGAGACTATGGCGCATTCTTACCCTTTTCAATGTTTGAGAAATTAAAGCCAAAAAAACTTAATTGTGTTGCCACATATATATATATATATATATATATATATATATATATATATATATATATATATATATATTTTATGCAGTTTTATGCATGATTGACCACTATATATTGCAAATTTAGGTACTTTTCCATGCACTATTAACAAATATTTAGTTACTTTACCATTCATCTTTTACCGACTGTCATTCAATTTTTGAATTTCTGACAACCTGGAAAGAGAGAAATATGTTTAAAAAAATCTTTTTTCAAAAAGCCAAAAAAATTATTAAATTTTTATTAGATATTGATCGGTAAGTACCTAAATATTGTTCAGAGATAGTTTGGATGACTTGGACTTCAAGGAATAACCTTGAAGGTCAAAAAGTCATCGATTCCTACGTAATAAAAATAATAATAATAATAAAATAAGTACCTACTAATTAAAGACATATTTTCAGTTAAAAAATTGAAAATTTAAATTTTCACCTCATAATTAAAAAAAAAAGTAATTGAAGGTTGATGCAGACCTTCTTATAAGTCAAACTCTAATTATCTGTAAAAATAAACGATAAATATAATGAAAAAAAGATCCTGAAAATCTCAAAAACTCATAAAAAATTTTGGTTGAATTAATAAAAAGAATTTAAAAACTTTTTAGAGTAACAATCTGTCATCATAAATTATTGATATTTTAGATTGTCAAAATTTGAAAATTTCTTGTCAAACTTTTATATTTTTTATCTCATTTTTACATTTTCTTTTCTTGGGAAAGAAAAATACATAGATGTACAGTCTTTAATTTTGAGTGCAACCATTCGAGGATATGGAGGATTGAACCTCCACCCTTGAGAGAAGGAATTATATGTCAATGACCGTTAAGATATACTCATATTGGCTTCCATTAACTCAATTAATATAAAGCGATTGATATTTTTAAGCTAACCAAAACAATCAAGCTCAAAAACTACTTAAAGCTGATCTTGATAAATGGACTATTTGACCCAAATAAATGGGCCTGTTGTTACAATTTCATAAGCTCCTTAGAATTTAGGTTTAATAAGATCATGAAGGGGAAAGCAGGGTATTGAATTAGGTTAATGCTTAAAATCTGTTTAAAAACATGTTTATTTTTTTCCAAAAATGTCCAACCATCCCTCTTCTAATTACCCCATTATCAAACAACATTAACTATTTAATTATGTCAATTTCAAACTATTCATGCACACAGCTCAATGAATCAATAGAGAACAATTCTCTAACCATCCTATTACTACGACTAAATTGAATGATGTTAAAAAATAAGAAGTTAAATTGAAACTTTTAAAAATCAAATAAAAAAATTACAAAATATTATAGACTAAAATATATATTTAGCTAATACAAACCAATAACTGAATGGCACATAAATAAGGCACGTCCTAAACCCAACCAAAAAGATTGTGAATTCGAATTCCTACTTACCTGTGGTACTAAAAAAATCTCAATGCCACATAAGTGAAAGATTTACCTGTATTCAACGTAACAACAAATCGTAAAGAATTATGATTTATGAGATTTAACCACACTACAAGAATTAACTTGAAATTTGTAAAACCAAGCAAATGAAATTAAGTCCAAATTAAAACAAAATGTCCACATCACTCATTTTAACACTTCTTCTCCTTTATCCATCTCACACTCTTGCTAATCCATGGCCAAGAAAATTACTATCTAAAATTATATTTTTCCAATAAAATACAAACAGCATTTATCTATTAAAAAAAAACAATATGATTTGTCTAAGAAAGATCTAAAAAAGCCAAAAAGGTATTCAAACTCCCCGGAGTTATTATTTTATAAAGAAATAGTTGGTTGCTGAGGAGTGAGAAATCTAAATTCCCACATCGGAAATAATAGCCACTCCACCACATATATTAATTTTGAGAGATTTGTTTTACCATTTCAAGAATATATATAAATTGGAAAATTTAAATATCTAATAAACACTCCTTATATAAACCTTGGTTTCATGAAGACAATATTTTATGTGAGTTCGATTCTCTTCTTTGTTTCTATCGTAGAACACATCTCATTTCTTTTTTGTATGTATTATTTCTCACTTGCTTTTTAATGAAATGACACATTTTCTTTAAAGAAAAAAAAGTATCTCTTTTTTGTATGTATTATTTCTCACTTGCTTTTTAATGAAATGACACATTTTCTTTAAAGAAAAAAAAGTATGAAGAATATAATTGAAATGGCTTTATTGGCGATGGTCCAAATACAATTAACATGCGTTTCCCTCCTTTAAGAAGCAAGTTATAGAAGTAGCTTTTGGGTGTGTCTAAATGTACTCCCTTTAGCCTTTTTCTTTTGTTTTCCCTTTTCACTCTCTCCATTTAATTATAAATTCATGTCTAATGTCCTTAATTATCCTTTTCATTTCTTTAATGCCCATTCCAACTTTTCTCTACACGTCATTATATATTTTTCCTCAACTTTGATCAAATCTTCGATCTCCCCAATTAAATTAATGGGACGTTTCTTCTTTTTCAATTTATGGAAGAATACATTAATTTCTAAGTGTGACCAATTGCGTCCAATGGGGAATAATGTACTTCATAAATTAATTGTTTTGTCTTTTTTATAATTTCTAAGTGTATAATTTAGTGATGAAATGCGGCTTCTTGTCTATTGCAATTTGATCCATTGCCACATTCATCCAATCAAAATCTCAAATGAATGATTTTTACTTTATGGCATCTCACTTCCCTTCGCTTTAATTCCTATGGGATGTATAATTTAATTCTTACCATGTTTCATCTATTTCAAATATTGTTTATTATTGGTCTATTCCAAATATTGATTATTTAGGGCTATTATGGTTTTAGTTTTATGTTTTTCTAAAAAAAAAAATAAAAAACTAAACACTTTTTATAACCATTTTTGTTTTTCTAGGATGGGGTAGAAGTCAAATGCCCTCTTCATCTCCATCCACGTACGAATTTTTAGTTTCCATCTCGTAACTTATTCTCTGATTCTAGGAGTCGAAGTCTATGACAAGGAATCCTCATTTGGGAACGAGGAACTTCACGGAATTTTTTTTTTTTTAGAATTTGAAAAATAAAGAGTTATAAATATATAAAATTACGTATATTTACTGAAAATTTATTATTTACTAGTATAAATAATTAGATTTAAAAATATTTAATACTTTATTGATACTTTAGTAAAATTGATAATAAATTAAATATATATTTATTATTTAAAAAATGGGTCAGACATGGTGGGAAATTAAAGCAGTGAGTTGCTCACCAATTGCAGGAGTACGCAATGTGTATATATTCCCGGTTCTTTAAGAGGTAAAAGAAAATCTTCAAGAGAGATAAATAAAAAAAATTAGAGAAAAGAAATTAGTGACACGACTAAAAATTAGAAGGAAAAGAAATTATAGCGAAAAAAAGTTTTTGACAAAAAAAAATTCAATATATATTTGTTAGAGAAAAATTAATTAATAAATAAAAGGATTAAAAAAATTATAGTGAAAAACAATTGAAGGAGAGAAAATTTAGATAATAGAGAAAAGTTGGAGTTATATTTACTAGATAAAAAATAGATTAGAAAGTGAAAGAAAAATTATAATAGGTAAAATTCGAGAGAGAAAAATCCAGGACAATATTAAATTTTTAAAGAGAGGAAAATAGATTGATATGTTAGACAGAGAAAGAAAGAAAAATATACAAAAATGAAAGTTTTGGAGAGAGAAATATAATAGTAAACATTATATAATGAAAATTTTACAGAGATAAAAGATAAATTTACTCTAGAGAAATTTTAGTAGAAAAGAATTTTTAGAGGAAAAAAAAAATCTGTCTGAGGGAAATATGTCAAAAGAATTTTTTATATATATATACAGAAATCTATTTTTAAAAGCTACCTTTTTAGTTTTTAAAATATTTTTATAATTTAAAAAAACGTTTTGGAAAAACAAAAAATTAAATTGACTATCAACCAGCCTATTCTAAAAGGTCAAAACAGAAAAACAAAATATTATCAAACAACTCCTAATTATGAATTATATAATTGAAAATACTTTTTAATAAATATGGGGATCTTATATTTGGTGTGGTAGTTTGTTCTTTTAGTTCATAAATATATTTCCAAATACTATAGACAACTTATATAAACCCAAATTACAAAAAATTTGGCTCATGAAATCTTTTTTATTAATTTTTTTTTTTTTTATACTACACCTAGTCACTTTTACAAACTATAAATCTATACAAACCATATATATTTCACTTATACTTAATCTATAACTCTTCCTTTTTATTGTCGAAATTAAAATTTCACTTAAAACTTCCCAACTTCAAACTTCATTAATCGAAACATAAAAGGGTTAAAATTGACTTTTCCTTTTCTACTTGTCTTCAACTTCTTTATTACATCTCGAATATAATTGTCGAGTTCAGTTGACTATCGTCACGACTTTACTTTTGATTTCATTCAAAATGTCTCATACCAATGTCATTTGTATCTTGTCTCAATAGTTATGCAACTCATCTACTCTCAACGAGAGCCTGATTCTATCTAACACGTCCAGACAAAGCACTTGCTACACTGACCTCATTGTTGGAACACTTGGGATCATTCTATTGCACCTTCAATCCCCTCCTCTCACACAAAGTTACATCATTCTTTTTATCAGTCTACGTAACTGTGATAGGCTTCCTATCAATCTACCTTAACTTAAAAGGGAGAATGTCTCACTCATTACCGAGCACAGAGCATGTCATTGTTTGCCACCTCGAATACTTTTTGTCTGATCTAGAGATTCATCCACAAGTTCCATATAATGACTATATATTAGGCTCATCAATCACTCTTGTTCGGTATCTAAGGATTTCCTCCTCACAACTAGGTTTTTTTTTATCATGGCTTGGATACCACTTTGTTAAGGACAATGGTATTCCAAAATACTCAAAGTATCTTCACAATGACATGATATTGTCCGTTTTGGACATAGTCCTCACCAGTTTGCTTTTGGTTTCACCAAAAATACCTCGTACCAATAATTGAAATAATTGTTCTTATCTATATACCATGGATTACGCACACCTCACTCGCAGCCCAACTGATTGGGATAAAAAAAAACAAATGGGTTAGTGCATAGAAATCGCCAAAGGTGCTTAGAAATGATGCATTCAATCAAGGGGACAGTTTGGTTGCTTGTGTGAGTACAAAATTATGAGGGATTAGTTTCAAACTTAGTTTAAATGGGGACACCAAAATAAAGGTATAGGTGCACCTAATTATTACACTCCATCATATATATTGTAAAACCCTCAACAAGAAGGGTCCACTCGATGGCAACCTCGTGTGTGTTTTGTCTATAATTTACAATCATGGAATTCAATTTTCACCCTTTCCCCCAATCCCTATGTTAATTGGGATCAACTTTTATCCCACGCCCACACCCGTTTTATGTCAACCCTAAACTCCACATCCCAAAGCTACTTTTTTCCCCTTTTTTTCCCCATTTTTTCGAGTTACATCAAAGACAAAATTATCTATTCTGCCCTCAACTTGCAACCAACCAATCCATCATGGTCCAATCTCAATGAATTATTACTGTTCTTGGTTAATCATAGAGAGACAAATTGGAAGGTATAGCATAGCAAGGGAAAATTATTCATAGAATTTAGTTTCTCATCATTCTAAGGGCCAAAGCTTGGAGCTCCCCCACATCACCATGACAAGCTAATCTTTTTCTAGAAAATTGTTGAAACTGATGAGCTAATTCTTCTGGTGATCTGCTTTGGCTCTCCTCCTGAAAATTGTTCATCATTATTGCCTCATCGCTATTGGCAGCCGATTCCAGAGAGCTCTGTGGGAAATTTGGGAATGATCCGGTGGGGAGATTGGAGCTCTTCTCCATGTAATTTCCTTCTGAATCGATTAGGGTTTGAGCCAGTTGAGCCTTGGCTTGCATCAGCTGTGTTTGCAAGTATGCCACCTTCAAAAAAAAACCAATCTTTAGTTTCTTTTCTTCACTAACTAAACAAACCCAGATGAAGAAAACTAAAAAAAAAAGCCAAATTTTGGAAGAAAAATCAGACCTGTTGTTGGAGAGCAAAAATATGAGCCACACAGCCATAAACAGGATCTCGAATCCTGGCCTGAGCTTCATACGCAATAGTGACAACAGCCTCACAGCGATCAGGAACAGGGACGTGGAGAAGCAACTTGGAAACATTGCTAGCGCCGAACACCTTGTGAATGGCCGCGAATCTTGCAGGGCCTTGCTCCGAGCAAAAGTAAGGGGCAAAAATGCAATCGGCCACACATTTTCGCCTCAGAAACTTGCATGCTCCACAAGGGGAAGATCCGGAGACACTATTATTGTAATTTCCAGTGCTAGAAGACGCCATGGAATTGAAAGAGAAAGAAGAAGAAGAAGAAGGATTCAGCGCACGAGGAGAGTAGAAAAAAGTGCAAAAATGTATAAGTTAGAGGGAGGGCGTGCGGGTCTGGGTTTAAAGCATACAACTTTTGAAAGATGAGAGATGAGAGTTGAGAGGCTATTTGTTATAAAGAAGTGTGAAAGGGAGACATGGAAGGTCTGTGTGTAGGGTTATTAGGGAACATCTCTTAATGGCTTATGTTGTATTAGTGAAAAATCCCTTCATGGAAGTTTAAAATAACCCAACAAAAACAAACAAAAAACAAAACGTTGCCGAATTAACATACAATTTTGCAATTTTTTTTTATGGTTTAGGGGCAAAAGAAAGTCATAGAGAAGTGATTAGTCAATGGAAATCTTTGAATACAACTAAAAATTTTAAAACTATATTGACATGGGATTTGTATTAGAGTTCTAACATCAGATCAGTGCAGGCTAAGTCCAATACATATAAGGCAGACAAAGAGTTAAGTTGAGATTAGTTATTGAGAATCTTGAGCTCTCCCTTTTTTCTACAGAGGAAATCTCTCCAATCCACTCAATTTAATGTAGCTTGATTATTCAATTGAGGTGGTTCGATCCTTGTCGAGTCTAGTTTGATCCGGTAGTACAACTTTGTAAGGTCTAGTTAGGTGGTCTAGTTCTGGTCAAGTCAGTCCAACCTGAACATCTCGACCCACATCGCTTTATTTGGTCTCACTCCCATGAATCTAGTATTGTAATTTCAATATAATCCTAATAAACTACTTATTTTTAAAAAGATATATATTTGAATAAATGGAGCTCATGCTAGCAAAGTTGGCCTTTGAGAGGTGGGTCAGGGTGTTTATTTATTTATTTATTTATTTATAAGTTTGTTTGATTGATGAGGGTTTGATAAAATAGTAATTAAAATTCTTTTTTCCGCCGAACGCCGCACCTAAGAAGTGCTGCGATTTGTCGCTTTCCGCTTGTAAATTTCTAATGAAATTATGTGTGTCCCCACGAGGTTTGATCAGCCAAATATATATATTGTTTTCCCCTTTTTTTTTTCTTTATAGATATATATGAGCTTTAAATGTGTTGAATTGCTTCATTATTTAACTTTTTTTTTAATATAACAATTGCTTCGTTATGAAACATGATAATTGAAAACACATTAAATTACCTAGTTCAATTATTTTTTATATTTCTCCCCGATTAAAAGATTGTGAGTTCGAATTACCACCATATAAAGCTAGTTAATAATTTAGGTAATAACCATATGTACGTGCGAGAATGGAACCTAAGTTACTTGTGTTGAAACATGCATTACCAAATTAGAGGTGTGGAAATGGAAACACATGGAGATATTAATAATTAATGTAGCAATCATAAATGTTAACATACTTTAAAATGAAATGAAATGTTTGTGTTGAAATTAATTGACACAAACTGAAGTAAAACTCATTTCTTTTTAAATAACAATTTATAATATATCAAAGTGGAAATTCAAATTTTCAATCTTAAGAAAAGTCCGATGTTTTAACATTTTTAGCTATATCGTTAACATGTTTCTCTTTCTCTAAAGAACACAAGTACTTTTATTTTGTTCTCACTCATGCATTTTTAGATAGATTAGAATTTTTATGATTGAGCGGTACCATATTAGATGGGTAGTAACTATCCATCATTTAAGCCTTTCTTGATCGATAAGGGAGCACTAATGTCTTTACTAATTGAACAATCCCTCCATTAACATTCATTCACAGAATCAATAGATATATTATTTCATTCTATGAGCCCCACAATTTATTTTCATTTTATTTGAAGCTAGTGTACTAAAGTAGTACTTAAATTTTCTCTAGTTCTTTTTGTCTATGACATTGCCCAAATCAGTCCATATATTTATCCATCACAGCATCAATTAGTCTAGGAATACAAGTCTAAATAAAAGGAAAAAATAAAACAAAAGGGTAGATCCGACCATTCAAAATGAGTTAGATTTGATCCATTTGAAATATTCTCGTCAATCAAATATTATATCACCACTGCCCCTAATTTGACTTACAATATTAACACGAACTGTAAAGAATCATAATTCAAATTAAAAAGGTTTTTTTTCTTGGAAAAAATGGTAATTTAATGCATCTAAAATCAAGAAATTAAAGCAATGAAGTAGGACCTGGAATTAATGAGAATCTGTTGGAGTTGGAGACACAGTTTGACTTTGGGGAAGCCAAAATGGGACACAATGGTTTGGTTGGTTCCAAAATGTGCAATAACTAAAGCCTTTGGAAGTCGAGTCTTAAAATGGTCAAACAAATTCGGAAAGAGCACATCTCTTGGAGAAGCAAAGGGGCATCACAGATTGATCCATCGTCACCAAACTGAAGAAAATGGCTGCCTCCATCTTCCCATGTCATTAAACACCACCTACATTTTCACAGCAAAATAACCTTTGGTTCTTGGTTTTTGCTGTAATGGTGATCCTATTTCTCTCTCTATCCACAATTTCCCAGCTTCTTGTATAGGCGTAGGCGTAGGCATATAATACAAGCAACATTTAATTGGCAGCACACATGGCAGCCATGCAAATGCAAGCCCTTTTAGGATTTCCCACCCCATGCCTTAGCCTTGAACCATAAGCAATTCATGTTTCAAGTTCAATTTCCTCAGATTACGCTTTTGGCATCTTTGACAAATTGATGCATGTCACGTTCTGTCATTTATGATATTTCAAACACTGTTTCAGTGAACTTGTTCTCGCAGTGCCAAACTACATTTACAAGATCTCCCCTCCAACTGGGTCTCCTCAAAATGAGATCTTTTCAAGACTTTTCACAAAATGGAGTTCAATAGAGCTCAATTCTTTCTGATATATAAACAAAATGGAGAAACAGTTTCTGATCTGCAGGCTGTACAACTTCCCCTCCGCCGGGCTGTCTTCTCACCTTTTGTGATGAAACCTCACTTTCAGTAAGAATTGCATCTTGACCTGTTCGTTTTCAAACACAGCTCTCAATCAGCCAATAACAGGAATTATCATTGTCTTCACTCCTAATCCTACCCCAACAACGTAAATGAGGAAGCAAGTAATCTATAACGGATTAGCCTTTCGAGAGCCCGTTCAAACCACGTGCATTCACTAGTTTGTCAATTATTGAATTGAACGATATGATGATTGTCAGTTATTGAATTTGAGTTAAATGATTGATTTACTCTAATATTTCTTGGCATGTGTAGTTGAAAGTAACTGAATTTACACAATTACATACTATAACAGAGTTTTTCAGTAACAAAATATAATACATTTCCTCCAATATTTCTAAACTTATCAGCTTATACGCTCTATACTTCAATTTCTTTATACGCTTTTACCATCTCTCCAACATTTCTCTCCCTAAAATGTCTCTCTCTGGCTTTTGTTTCTCTAAAATGCTTCTCTTCCTACCATTTCTAATTTTCTACAACTTCCTAACATTCTCTCGCTAGATTCATAAACTTTTTTTTTAATAAGAAGATTCACGACCTTCTCCATCTAGAAATTGCATCTTGATTCCTCTAGCTAGAATTTCTTTCTATTTGTCTCTCTAAAAGTCTAAACTTTATCTCTCTCGAATTTGTTACATGCTTCCTCTCACTAGAATTGCTAACATTCTCCATCTAGAACTTATTACTTTCACACTCAAGAATTTTTAACTTTCTCTCTAGAATTGTTTCTTGCTTCCTCTGGCTAGAATCTCTCTCTCTATAATTTGTTTCTTGCTTCCACTGGCTGGAATTTCTAACTCTCTAGAATTTGTTCTTGCTTCCTCTAGCTAGAATTTCTCTCTCTAAAATTTGTCTTTGGCTTTCACATTAGTATTGCTAACCAAGGATGAAAATATCAATGTGAATATCGATGTCACTCGAATTTATGGATACATCAACAGATATTTGGATTTCGACAGTATTTTTAGAAAAATCACGGATATCGCAGAAATTAATTGAAATTTTGTGAGTTTCTTAGTAGAACTTTAATAAAAGCTTATTTAAGTCAAAAACTATCATTTTTAAGTATATATATCATTAACATATACATTAATACAAGAATGGATAGTAAATAAATGAAGGTCAATAAATCGATAAAATTTTGATTAACTCATTGATAAATAGACAATGTCAGTTCATAGATATACATTATTTAACAATAATAAGATGTAATTTTTGGGTAATAGACCATGATTATTGATTAATATGTTATTGATAACTATACAAGAAAGACAATAAAGGAGAGGTTGGGATAGAAACATACCTAGCTTCTTACCCGTAAGAACCTATCTTTATCTTGACCACCGTAAAAAAAATTGAGAGTTCATTATTTTATTTTTTTTAAATATTATGTTTTTGCATTTCTCTCTTAATTAACAAGATTCAATGGTAGTCAAGACAATATGGGTCTTGATTGGTAAGGAACAAAGTATGGAACTTTCCATTTAGATAAATATTTTCCACATAATTTTTATGTATGAATTTGTGATACTAAAAATTCTTGGCCTAACCTAAAAACTTACTGTTAGAACTTTTGAAAGTGAGAAAAACTTAAATATATGTTGGTATAAGTAGAGATGAAAAGTTGTAAAATATCACACCATGAAATATCAGTAAAATTTTGACAAATATCGCGGGTATTCTGACAAGCATCTTCACCAATATTCTCGTCGATTGTTGACTTCCAAAATATTCGATTTTCTCGCTGATTTTATGTAAAAATGACTCCCATTGTTATTGTTGTCAAAACCATGATTTTACTGATAGATCACCGATATTTTCACCCCTGTTACTGACTTTCTCTCTTTGGAAATTCTAACTTTTCCTCCCCTAGACTTTGTCTCTTGCTTTCTCAAACCAGAATTTGTTCTGTGCTTCCTCTCATTAGAATCTCACTAGAATGTCTGAACTTCTCTCACTAGAATCTCCGAATTTCTCTATCTAGAAGCTCTGACTTTCTCTCACTAGAACTTCTCATTCTCTCATTAGACTTTCCGATTTTCTCTCACTAGAACCTTCAACTTTCTCTCTCACTAGAAATTAGAATCTTAACTTTCCAATTTCTTCTTACTAGAACTTCTCACTCTCACTTAACTTTCCAACTTTCTCTCACTAGATCTCTGACCTTCTCTCTCAGCAGAACTTCTAACTTCCTCTCACTAGAATCTCCAACCAACTTTAGTTAGTATAATTTGTAACTTTGGCCTGTCCCAGAATTTTTTTTTCTGACTAGAATCTGTTTCTTTCTTCGTCCCACAAGAATCTATAACCCTAAGTTTATCTGAATCGAATTTGTTTGGTGCTCTCTGCGTGTAATTTGTATATTTATTTTCGAACTTTGTGTCTGTAGAAATTGTTTGTTAGTTGTTCCGTGTATCCAGAATTTCTAAGTTTGTATGTCTGTAGAATTTGTTTATTGGTTCCTGTGTAGAATTGATGCCTGGTATGTGTGTTTAGAAATTTTTGTGTGTGTGTAGACCTTATAGTTTTGAGTAGTGTGTGTATAATTTCAATTTGTATGATTGTCTTGTCTGCCTCAGTAGAAAGTTTCAATTGAGTTCCTAACTTGAGTTGTTTGTTTTTTTGTTAGAAAGGAAGGACGAAAGGAGAGAGAATGGAAAGAAAGAACATGGTAAAGAAAGGGAGAAGTAGAAGTAATATTCCTTAATCAAATTTAAAAACTTACTTGAGCCGTATTGTAAACAATGTACTCGTTGTACATTAACTCCGAAGCTTTCACATTGGACGCCACCGGTTTCCCACACGGCACCACCACATCCTCCCTCCACTTCACATGTTCCGACACCGCAGGTACTTTCTTCCCCATTCCTTTCGTCGAATGCTTCCCCCGAGGTGGCCTTTCCATATACTGCACCACGCACACGCACAGACACACCAATTTCAAATATCAATTTCTCTCAACAAACAACAAACAACAAACTACAAACTACAAACTACAAACAAACTCACCTCAGCTTTCTTGACCTCGTACACCTCTCCCAACGCCACTTCACTCAGCACCATAAACCCAACCGGATTCTTCCTGTCCGTGTAGCAATACTGCGCACTCTTACTCACCAGATCCGCAAAGTATATTCCCTTCCCAAACTGCATTCATTCACCATGTATTTGAAGTGCAGATTGTTCATTTCCAATACCAATACCAATATTCAAATACAGAGAGAGACCTGTACCATACCATGTACCCAGTTGCTGGAGCTTCCGGAGGAGCTATTCTCAGTCCCTGGCTAAGTATCCCCACAAAATTCGTCAACCGTGAACCTGCAGTGCAACCAATCAACACACATTATATTTATAACTAACATCATCTTACTACTCAAATTCTTTCCTTTTATATAACTAAACGCCAGCTCTACCATGCCATAGCAGCATTTTGTTCTCTAGTTTGTTTCGGAATGGAGCAAACTTATCGTACTCCCCTTCTCTCTCTAACGAAAATACTTCTTCGAGCTCCAGACCCCAATCCTGTTTCAAAAATAAACTCACTTATTATTTCTACGATGACAAAATGCGACTAATGTCAAGTCAACTAACTAACCATGTGAGTTGGGGCATGAGTCGTGACAAGATACTTCTCTATTAACTTGTAATCCTCACTTTCATGAGATATCGGTGCAATATCACACCGCAACTTCTTATACTTTTCATCAAGAGATTCGTTGTTATCATCATCAAACCCAACTAACCTAGAAGCGATCTCGATATCTTGGAGAGCTTCCAGCATTTTCAACTATGAAACCAAAAAAAAATGCAGGGTAGAAAGAGAGTTAAAAATCTTAATGCCCTTCATAAATTCGGTTTCCCAACATAGATGTCTTCAATTTGCTTGTTTCTAAGAAACTTCTGGGTTGCTACCTTAGACTTGAAATCATCCTCGTCCCTAATTATGTGTGGATGGATGGAAGGAATCACAGTGAAAAACCGATTGCTGGCATCAATAATCAAGCTTTCTTTCATAGAACCATCATGAATACTACTGTTTAACAGGTTTTGGATTTCTGTTAAAGCTTCAAAACCTGAAGGGAGTAGGTACCAGAGTAAGTAGAAACATTAAAATTTTGAAAAATTAAAATATATATATATATATATATATTTCCAGTTGCTTCTTTTTTTAATTTGCAAGAAATATAGTTGATGCCATGTATTTAATGAAAGCTTTAAGCTTCTAGACATTTACCCTTCTGGATATTACTTCTGCTTAATTTTCCAAGCGGCATCTCTGACATATTTATCTCGAACTCCATCATAGCGTTCCTGCAAGATTTATGACTTAGTGTTTTACACAAATAAATAAACAAACAAATAAATCTGAAAAAACCCAATGGGGAAGCTCATTTGGAAAGAAATACCTGTACGTTTCCACGTTGAACAGCATCTTCATCAATTCTGCTAATTGAGGAGCAAGTTTAGTTGCCGAATAATTCTTCTGTTTCTTTGGCATATCTTTGTTCACTCCATAATCCTATAAGATCCAACATCGAGACATGACTCAAACATTCAAACTGATGACAAAAGAAATGAGAACGTATAATAGGGTAGCAATGAAGATGATATACGATAATGACAAAAGGAAGAGCAGTACAATATCCAGAGGGAAGAATCTGCCAGGTTGCTTCTCAAAATTTTGTTTCTGTTCCCAGGCCTCCCATGGATTCCCTGTCTTCTCAAGGAATAAACGTTTGAATTCACGGATCGCATCTGATTTCGACATCTCTTCAAGTTTGACTCCACCAATCTTCTCATTTCCAACTCGACCCCATTTGCGAAAAACGTGGCAATCTGAACTCTTATCATCTTGAATGATTTGGAGAATATAGTAGCTTCCAAAAGTAAACATAAATATGTAAGAGTAGATTCTAAACTTACATTTCCAAATCCTATACGGATAGGAAAAGCTAACGCCTTTTTTTTTTATTCACATTTCTTGTCTTCTGCCAGTGCTTTAATATAAAATGGTACAACATACCTATTAACACCAGTAGACAAGTCCGACATGTTCAAAGTTGTATTGTAGATGCTTTTCTTGTCTTCAAGAATATGACCTGTATCCTGCAAGCCCGAAGATTCGTGCACCGCACTTCTCCCTTTCACCTTTACAGTGACCATGCTGGTGGACTCACCAGTGGTTTCAACTTTGTATCTATCAAACGGAAGCTTCTTTTGTTTTCTAAAGCATTCAACCAGATATTCTTCCCGTACTATAGGTAACTTCATCTTTCTGTCCATTGATACCAGTAACCAAAAGAGATAGATGATAAATCAATTGATAAAGAAAGATAAATGGAACTACCAGAAACTAGAGGGCTGCTTTACCTTGCTTTCCTCGTTTCTAAATTATATTCATCCACATCTCCACTCACAACCAAGCAATTAGTATCTGCACCTAATTTTGTCATCAAAGTGATGAACAACATAATGTATCTAAAATAGTTATATGGTGTCGACCAACGAGGTGATAAAGACCATAAAGAAGATACCTTTCTTTATCTTGGCATGAACAGCTCCACCTTCACCTTCAATTTTTCTTTTCCATTCTTCCTGCAAGATTAAACTCAATACAATTATTTCAACTATTGCATTCTGCACAAAGGAAGTAATTTAAAGAATACAACAGCTTGAAATGAAAGATGATACCATGGAGTCTTTTAACCCACTGAAGGCGACTCTTAGCTCAGCCAAGCTTTCAGCCTTTGATGATTGTGATCGACTATTAGAAGCTTGATTACCATTAGCATTACTGGAAGATGGTGGTGGCAATAATCGAATAGGTTTTGCAACTTTTTGCGATTTAAACCACTGCAAGAGATCATTAGATACAAAATCACAATTCACGTAATTTTCATATAAGATGAGTTTTAGCACAAACCTTGCAAAGATATTGGTTCCCAGTCTCTTCTGGGACTTTCCACTTCCCTTTAATGCGTTCTGGTTCATGAGCAGAGTAGCTACACTTGCTCCATGCAGACTGATATCCGTGACAACGATACATTCCCCCAGAGTAACGGAGTGAAGCAGAACAGATAGGGCAGTTTGCAAGTGCTCCAAACATCATACCATCAGCACTAAACAAGTCGTATCAATTAGGAATTGTGGCAGTGGTTGAAAGTTAATTTAAATATGACTGAGAACATGTATATCTACCTTTGTACAAGATGTGTTCATGAAATGCAATAAGATGTTAGAATAATTAGCATATCATGAAGGAGTAATGAATAGAAGAATGGAAAAGTCCAATACTAATCACTCAATAACAATTAATCATGAGAAAAGAAGTGAGTTAAGAGTTGAAGAAAGGGACTACCAGCGATCACGCAAATCAAGCTCTGATCCTGTTGAATCTTGACCATTAGATTCAAGCATTTCTCTCAACTCTGCATTTGTCACATGCTTTTTCAGATCATCTTTTAGCTTCCATAGTTCTTTAGTCTGTGCCTCCAGTTTACTCGCTAGAGAAGATGGATTTTGAGAATCTGGTGAGTCACTAGCAGTTTTCATGGACCTGCTCACTGAAACATCTCCTACAGCCTTGGTAACTTTAGAATCCTGATCTCCAGTAGCATCTTTTTTACGTTTACCAACTTTTGAAGCTGCCTGTCTCGGTTCTACATTCCACACACACACACACACACACACACACACACACACACACACACACACACAAAAGAGTGAACAAATAAATGAGATTATAACATCTGAAACATTATTCCTAAGAATTACACGAAGGCATTACCATTATTTTCAGTAGATGGAAGCTTCTTAATCAAGGCACTAACAGCAGCCTGATCAGAAGCTGGGAGGCTCTGCCAACCTGCCAACTTCTCAACTTGGGTGGATGGAGATTGTTCCATGTAGCAGTTTGCATGGTGCCAAGCCAGGCCCTTGGCCCCTTTCCCATCCAGTGCAGTGGACAAACGAACCTAGGAATTGAAAATCTGTTACAACTAAATCAACCTTTTTCTCCAGTGAGCCCATGGACATGGATCACACAATAAATAAACAAACAGGAATATAACAGAAACATGTTATGAAACGTCCCACCGCCCATGCCCCTCAAAAGTGATCCAGTTTCTAGCAAACCCCAAGTTATTTTTCGTTCTTCTTACCTCAAATCAGAGTTCAACATTACATAATTAAAATAACAAAAACTTCCAATAGAGAGTAACTAGTAAGACCTCTAAATGCATTCACAGTCTCTCTTCCCTAAAATTTGGTTTAGATTTGAACTTGGATCCGAAAAATCGAAATATGAAAGACGAGCCACATAAAAGGGGTGGAGGAAATAAAGGATGTTTAACCATATTCAGAATCAAGCAATAGGACGTTAAAAGAATTTGCATAAAAAACCTACCTCTCCTTTCATAATCTTCTGTTTACATAGCTTGCAAGCAGCACGAGAAGCTTGCGCTACTTCAATGCCACACTCTACTGGCGTATCAGCAACTGCAGCTGCGGCTGCACTGTCTTCTACATATTTTCTAATCTTCTGCTGATCTTCCCATCTTAGTGAGTCAAGTCCTTCAACATCATCGACTCTACCAAATGGTAAATTTAAAATCAATTAGAAAATTTGTCGAATGGTATACAAGTACTCAACTCCATACGGTAAAATGCCATCAGTGCACATACGATTTGATTTGCTTTGCCTTCTTCAATATGCAGGAAGCATGGTTCCACATCTGTTTCAGAAAAATATGGGCATATCAACATTGGGAATGTAAAATGTTAGATTATAAACTTATAACAGATACACTAGAAAATGAAAAGAACATGTCAAGGTGGATAAAGGACATCTCAGACCCTAAATAGGGAAGTTATAGTGCATACTGCATACGATATGAGGAGGGTTAATTTCTACCCAGCGTAAAATCAACTCAATATTGCATTTCTAGCCAAACAAGGGGGATTTTACAGTGATTCTCTGCACCGCACCCAATTTATGGCGTTAATAAGCTCTAATCACTTCCCATTTCAAATAAACCTTGTAAGACGATGACCAAAAGAAGAGGAACGAATGTGAGTATAAAAAGGGTTCAGAAGAGAAACAACATTAAAACAAAACAGTGAATTGATACGAAACAAAGAAGAAGAGGAAGAAGAAGAAGAAGAAGAAAACGGCATTACTAAAAGCCTAAAACTTGGAGGTTGAGCTGAAGAAAGTGTGAAATGGGGGAAATGGGTGAGTACAGTACAGGCATAAAGCCGTCGAATTGGGTGGCCTGAACCATCTTGCCGAAGCGGAGGTTTTCCTTGTCAATGGGTTTCTTACAGGTCTTGCAGGAGGATCGAGAAGACTTTGCATACTCCACTTTCCATGGCTTCTGGGGATTCGCCATTTTCGCCTGAACTCACTTTTCCTGCAATCTGGTTCTGCTTTCTGCGCCGAAGAACACACACCCACAAAACACATATATATATATGTATAGCTAAAAGGGATTATAGAATCTTGGGCGAAACAGCCAATTTGTGAATCTTTGATTTAAAAATGCTCGCAGAGATTGGGTGACGAGAGGACAGACAGCGTCACAGCGCCACGGAAAAGCGTCTCCGGTACGCTTTGTTTTGGGCCTGTTTGACTTTGGGCTCTCAAATTGAAACTTCTTCCGCAAGGAGAAGGGCCCTAATTTAATAATTCGGCCCAACTACCCAATTTCTATAATTTATTTATTAAAATAGTGATTTTAGTTCTTTTTTATTGTTACATTTTCGGGATATGTTGGTATGTTACAATTATATCTAATAATTCAGACATTTTGTGCTCGCCACAAGTTGACTTTTTGTTTTATTTTTCTATTTTTAAAAACCCACTTTATATTTTTAAGAAATTGCAAATGTGTGAGTATCCAATACTTGATTAGGGATATATATTTGTGAGACATGTCGGCATGTCGCTCAACATCGACATAGGAAGGAAAAGTCGATTTTCTCCCGTATCATCGACATGTCGAAATATCGACAAAATGTCGACATGTTTTTTTTTTCCTATTCTCCTTTTAAGGTTATTTTATTTCATCATCTTCCTATTATTACATTACAGTCTATAATTTCTTACAACCTCGATTATTGTATTATTAGTTTGTTCAATGAAACATTCGAATTTTAATACTGTATAAAGTATAACTAATAGGATTTGGAATTTGCTGATAATTTCTAATCCAATCTAATCCTTAGTTACACAACTGAACAATATATGTGAAATATTGACATATATAAATATTGAAATAATCTTAGAATTTTTAAAAAATAAAATATTATTATATAGAAATAGTGGTGAAACATGAAGTAGAATAGATAACTTAATTAATACAAAAAAGATGATGTCGGATGATTTAGTTCACCGTCTTAATAATTTTGATATAAATTACAATTGTTCTCTGTGGTCATCTAGACTGAAAGTTTTGAAGGTAGTTGTTCAAATGAGTAGAATATGAAGTACATATGGATCTCATTGGTAGATAATTTTGATGAATGACAAAATCACGAGGTTGAGGTCTTTGAAAATTGTGTAAATTTGATTGGAACGTTGGATTGATGATTGATTTGAAAATATGTTTGAAAAATGTGTAAATTTGAATTTGAAAAGAGAAGTAGGTAAAAAAGTAAACAAGGTACGAGTTAATTAGAATTTAGAAATGTGTTTGGAAACCAAGTCGGTAATTATCTCATTTCCAAATGAAACCTATTATGAAAAACACTAAAGAAGTAGTCAAAAGTTTACCATTAAAGTTTACTTTACACATTCAAATAATTTCCGTCAATCTTCATTAAAGGAAAAAATCTTTTTTCGATAGTTTCATCAACATCGACATTTTCATAAGTAAAATGGTCATATTCTTACATTTAATGGTTAAAGATGATCAATTATAGACTAATTAAGCTACAATTCAAGTTTTATTTGTTAATTCAAAAAATTTCTATCAATTTCCACAATTTCTATTATTTTTTTCGAAATATCCATCGACATCGACATGTCTGTAAAATCAGAATCTCAACATTTTCATCGACATCGACATTTTGAACATTGATTGTATATTTTAATTAAAATAAACAGTGGACAGTTTCTAAGCTCAGTGCAAGTCCAACCAACCCCATCAACTAACTATATATATTGTGGACTCTCCTTGATCTTATCCACTCTCATCCACAAAACTTATCAATCCAACCTAATAAATGCACCAGCCCCAGGCTTTTCTTTCTTTTACAAGTATCTCAGCCACTTTTTTTTTTCTTTTTTAATTTAAAAGACACGTGGAGATTCGAACCTTCGATATTTTAATTGATGATATATATCTTAATTAATTAAAGTATGTGTATATTGGTACAAGTACCTTGCTACTTAATTAATTGTAATTTATATATATAGAAGATTTCTCACCAGCCACGTGTCGACATTTGATAGTTCAACAAATGACGAGTCAGTACTGACTCACACACACAAGTGACGACAACTCGAACCTTTGAAGGGACAAGGTTGAGCTGAACAACTAAAGACCACAGCTCATATCTTGGTCGTTAGAGATATCAGTCGAGCCAACCAATAACTTATACCTTGATCGTTTGAGTTAACAGTCGAGTTGACTTATATTAACTTATAGGCACAAACCTCAAACAAAATCAACGACAATGCACCGCAATTTTCGAAGCTGTTGGAAGTCTGTCGGAGGTTCTGTTGAATGTTCGCTTATAAAAAGAGACCTCTTGATCCTAATTATTGACTTGAGTGTGATCTCTTACATTCACTTCAGTTCATTCGGAGAGGTAGTTAATTTATTATCAAATTTTGCGGACTTGATCTATATATATATTTTAGAATAATGTAACTCAAACAACTCAAATTAAAAACATATATTATCAACTCAGAGATTGGATGATTGAATCCATCCTCATAGTTGAAAAGAAAAGTAAAATAATTAGAATGATTCTTTTATCTTTTTAATTATCCCTAATTTTAATTCAAATTATCGACTTCTTATTCTCATAAGAGAATAAACAAACAATATATTTTTTTAATAAACGGAGGGAGACGAAAACGAACCTGTAGTTGTATAATATCAGCTACAAATTAATTCCTGTATAAGGTAAATAATCTAATATGACATTTATAGATAAAATTTCAATAATTAATTTCAGTATATATCTCCTACTCCCCCGTCAAGATTCGCCGATCGTCTCCCTTTGTCACCGTTTCTTGTCCCGTCGCGCCCTCAAGTCTCGAACTTTCAGCTGCCCGATAATTGGTACGTATCTGTTTCACACCCTTCCTTCTAAATCTCTCTCAACTACGAATTCCTCTTCGAATTTTGATCTTCGAAGTCGGATTCTTGATGCTCTTTTTCTTTTCGATCCTTCACCGCTGCATCCCCTTTTTCTGGATTTTACTTGCCTCCGATCAACTTCTACTTTATAAAAGTTTAATTCCTCAGCAGGGAAGCGCGTATAACAACAGATCGAAAAGCTTTGATTGCGAATCCAAGAAAGTAGAGGGCTGGGCCTGGATTCTGTTTCGTCCCTAGAGCCATGAACGCGAGAAGGTTTTCTTGAACTTTCAATCTTTATCTTAGCTCTATCTGCCCTTTAGGTTTCTTCCCTATTAAGGGATCCCCGCGAAACGCCAATATTCTTCAGAAATTTTACTGGTTCATTCGTTTGTGAGAAATTCACATTTACGATTCGGTGTTGTGTTGCCCTATAGTCTACTAGATCTTGATAGATCAATGACTCGATGAATTTGATTGCGTATCTGGAAGGAGGGTCTCATTTCTATAGACTTTTCAGGGATGTCCGATGAGTAATTTCAATTGTTGGGACTTCAATCTGCGAACTAGATATTTGTTGCGTTACTTAATCTTATTAGAACTGAATTCTCTTGAGGAAAGCACAAATGCTTCAGTTTAGGTTATTGCTTAATTCTTGATGCATTACCAAGTTGCAATTCTATTCTCTAGTATTCTTCATTCTGTTTGTGACTCTTCAGACTGATAAATTATTGAAACTCAGGATATTTATCCCGCAGATTGGTAATATTTAACCCTTTATGTTGTGTCTCTCTATGCCCGTACTTGAATGTTAAGTGATTTAACATAAACACCTTATAACATTTTGAATAATGGTCTGCTCATCCAGAACTGTCAGGATGTACTCAATTAGGAAGTTAAATCTTGATGGCATGGGTATGTAGGACACGAACTTCAGTTCCTTTATCTTAATTGATCTTTTGGCAATGAGTGTTATATTGAAATTTACCGATTGTCAAATCTTTCGTTCTCAACCTTTTGTTAAACTTTAGTCGAAATAAATTTACTTTCTCATGCACGTAGATGCACCCTTGAAATATATGTACGAATAGTAGAGAAAGACGAACATCGTAATACAGCGATCAACTGTTTTGAAATGTTATTTGTGTTAAAATATGACCTTCTGTTATCTGCTTTACTTAGAATTGAGATGCTAGTTCTCATTATTGCTTACTTCCACAACACTTTGCCGATTGAAAACCATATTCTTTTCAACATCAATGGAAGGTCTGTAAATACTTTTCTTATCATAGCTCGAAGAATCTGTGTCTCCAGTAGTAGAGGTGATTTTTATCAAAGGCATCTTAGGTTGATCTTGCCATTTGCTGCTTGTTCTGCTTGTAACACAATCTCTTAGAGTGCAGGGAAATGCGCAACAACAGGGTTGCTCTCTTCGATGGCATCGAGGAGGGTGGCGTTAGGGCTTCATCTTCATTCTCCTCCCATGAAATTGAGGAGCATGATAATGAAGCAGCATTGGAAGGTTTGCAAGACAGAGTCCTCCTATTGAAAAGGGTATTACTTGCTTACCCAGCCTGAGTCATTAATTGCAGATGTTCCGGTTTTGGGTAGGAACAGACTCTGCACCTATAATATGCTGCAATTATTGTCGAGTGTGTAGACGATGATAAAATTATATCCTTTGACTATATGTCGTACAAGAACTCACAAGATGGGGTAGGATTAAATATATGTGATGATTAGAAAGCATAAACTATGCTATTTTTTAGTCTCGATAGATATTTTTTCGTCGAATCACATACAACAAATTGAAAGATGTTATTGGTGACAGTTGACAGGGGACATAAATGAGGAGGTGGAGAGTCATAACCGGATGCTGGATAGGATGGTATGTCAACTTAATTGCCTTACAATAATTGATGCGTAGTTGTTGTTATGTTATTATAAAATCAGACTAGATCCTTGCATCTTTTTATTCAGGGTAATGATATGGATTCATCAAGAGGAGTGTTGTCGGGCACTATGGATCGATTCAAGACGGTATTGCCCTGTTTCTCAAGAACGGTTTGTTCCATTCTTTTCATTGTTATAGACATTCATTTAGATCAATTATAGGTATTCGATCCCAAGTCAAGCCCGAAGATGTTCTCACTAGTCGCACTTTTCGTGGCAATTTTCTTCATCGTGTACTATCTCACAAGATAATCATCCCGTTTTGATGACAAACTCAAGCTTCGCCTCAGAATGGAAAGATGATGATCTGGTCCCTGTGGGTGCTTAGTTGTTCTACCAGTATTACATGTAATTTTGGCATAGATGTTCTGTTAATGTGTGTGTGAATATATGTTTCTTTGTACCAAATTAAAGTTGACTGAGTTTCTCCATTAAGCTGACAAGACATTGATGGAATATAAATCAGCAAACCAGTTTGTTACTTTTGGGACTTTTATCTGCCTTTGCCTGATTAGCATCTAACATAATGTGGTCGGAGATGTTTTAGAAATTTATCTGAAAATTTATTTATACAGATGGCTAAAATTTTCTAATTTTACATTCTGTTTTAGAAATTTATTTATAGGAATTTTTGAAATTTTCTAATTTTACACTTATTGATTTCTTCACGCAAGGATTTTATTTTAATTTTAATTTTATCCTTATTTATCACATATACATTTATTATAGTTATTTGTTTTTTTAAAATATGAAAGATTTAATTCCATAAATTATTATCATAATGCTTTAATTATCGTGGGTCTGATATAAATTTTCAACACTAATGTCATTTACTCTTTCAAAAAGATTGATTCTCTTGATTTTTGAGGCTTCTAAACTAAAATCAAAATTCCATATAAACTTCTTAGATGGTCAGTCGGAGACGGAAAACAGAAGGGGTTTCAAATTTTTTGAAAATGGATGATTTTGGGGATTTTGTATTTATTTTTTTTAAAGTACAATTAAATAAATTTTGAGGGATTTAAATTGTAACCTCCCAATTTACCAATTTGTGATTTTAAAAATTATTTAATATTATAAAATGATATATTAGTAATTAGGTAGTTTCATGACAAAAATGTAAATTCGTAATTATGATTTCTAAATAGTCGATGTGCTAATCCCTTGCTATTTTATTGTCATTTAGGCCCTGTTTACTTACTCGCAATCGTAATTAATGAATCAAAACGATGTCGTAGTTCTTGATCTGTGAAGACATGTTGTTAGGTGCTCCGCTTTATTTTTCCATTGAGGCCGAACGTAAACCTGTGCTCGAGAAATAACTGTCCATATACTGATAAGGGATGTATGGATTCTCGAGAAAAGAGGAGCCGAGGTGGTCCCCCTGGGCGGCCTGGATCCCACGAGTAAATAGAAAGTTGGATCTACGTTGGATCTCACCTGAATCGCCCCATTTATCCTCCTGAGGAGAATTTTGGTTTCAAACCCCTGTTTGAATAGGAGAAATACGCCATAATCTCGTTACATTCCTACAACCTCATCAATCTCATTCTCATTCCTTATTCCGTGGACCCCACATATATATTATAATTAATGTACTGTGTTTACCCTTCCTCTCTCAATTAGATTCATATAATTTTTAATTAGTTTTTTTATACTTTTATAATTTCTTCTCCTTTTATACTTCAATTTTTATTAGTTGACGCGATTTTATTATATAATATGATAAATTAATATTAAGTAATATCAATAATTTTTTAAAATAGATATTATTACTTTTAAATATTAGGATAATACAACTTAATATGTTATATTAAAGTTTGGTTGTTCTAATAAAAAATATTTTATTTGATGTAATTTTATTTTAATTATGTTGGGTACTTTGTCCTAAAACTCGTAGTTTGTAAACAGTGAACATTAATGTGAGGTTATTCAGACAAGTGTTGTAAAATGAAAGTGAATTTGTTTTTTTAATAAATCCAATAAACTACGAACATTTGGCTATTATAATGAGTACTTGGACTTTATGTGGAGACATAAACTCGATCAAGTTCAAGTAAATAGCCTAAACAATCTATAGTACATGGATCAAGTTGGGTACCTTTTCCTGGAGACATTATTGAATACGGCCCGCTTTATGATTGTTACAAATGTTGTAAGGTGTCATAAGCAATGTGATCCTGATTCGTTTGTGTAGAAACATGTGAGCGGGGTGTTCTACACAATGAGATTGTGTAAGACTGACCCTGAAATAATCACTGTTACGTATTAACACTGTTTACGGATAACACTGATTAATTTCGTTTATTGATGACCTAAATTATTTGATCTAAATCCTGAGCCATCTATGAACTCCTATTTATTCAGGATTCTCCCTTGATCTGCATAGGTGAGAGTAAGCTCATCAGCGCTGCTCAATATGCCTCCCATTTCAGGGATAAGACTGGGTAGATAACTGGGGACATAGAATTAGCAAGACAGAATTCACTTCTACTCGATTTAGGGATAGTAGAGAGGTTGTTCCCTTAAGGGCTGATCTCGGATCTTGAACAAAGGGCCCCATCCTCTCACTGGCCCGAGAGGAATTGGATTTAGTGATTTGATCATAAATCAATTGTTCATTAGAGGGATAGTGGTACGAGAAAAGGTGTAACTCAGGGGTAAAACGGTTTTTTTTACCTAGCTGAGGTTACGAACGGCCTGTGAAGGATCAACTTACCGATGACGGTTATATCGAATGGACACAAATATATCTACAGTGAGGGAAGTGCATCTACAGGCTATAGTGGACAGTTCTGTTAGTTAACGAATGTTGATTAACTAAGTTAAAGAGTTTGACCGGTTAGTCTCGAATYGTTGGAGCCCATGATCTGTAGGTCCAACGGGTCTCCATGCTAKCTCATAAAGGATAAAATTGATGAACTAGGTGAAGCAAGAATTTGAAGTGTTCAAATTCGGTTTTTAAGGGAATATTGTATTTTATATGAGATATAATATATAATCTAATTGACATTTAATTATTATGGAGAGTGTGACTTATTTAAATTAGTTTTAAATAAGTTCAAAGCATGAAAAAGAGTTGTAATTTGATTAATGTGATTAATCAAGCTTAGGTGTCAAAGACCAATTAATATAAGATATTGATTTGGCTTGGTTTTTGTTTTAATAGAAAATTGATATTTCAATTTTTGTTTTTATAAAAATTAGTTTTATCAAAGTTTTATTTAAAAAATCAAGTTAGTGGAAAAATCCAACTTCAAAGTTGGATTTTCCCGCTAACTAGTGGTTTTTGAAGTGTTTCTTCAAAGCAATGACACCTATCTTTTACATGCTAATGAAGTTTGAAGTGGAAGACATGTAAGGCTTGTCTTTGCATGCATTTGTTATTTATATAGGTGATCAAGATCACTTGGATAAGGCTAATGCTTCCTTGCATAAGTGCAGAATTTTTCCACTTAAATTTCTATTGTCTTCTCTTAGCCATTAGTGTTTTCCCTTTGTTTTCACTCAAAATTCGATCCCACAACCATGTTCATCAACCCGAGGATAGCACAGATTTGTCGTTGGTGGTTCCATTGAGTTAGGAGAAAAAATTATAATGGAGGTCTTCGAAGGTATAAAGTTAATCTCTTTCTCTTTACCTTTTTCATCATTTTTTCAAGCATACTTATTTTAGTTAAATTGCTTCATTAGGTGTATTTTCCGCTGTGCATGTCTAAGAGTTCCATCAAATTATTCCTTTTGTATTAATATTAGATAAATTGTTATAATAAAAAAATATTTACTATTGATAATATAGTAATAAATTAAATTAAAATTTATTATTATTGTAATTTAAAAGAGATTAGCACAATAATATATTTGTAATTAGTCGAGAAGGAGGAAGGAGTATGATAGTAATTATTATATATTTGATTTTGATTCCAGATAGTTTTAGTAAATAACATCAAACAAATTCTGATTACGATTCCAAAAAATTTGTAGTAAACAACATTAATAGAATAACATTATAAAATAGAAGTTTTTTTTAATTGCCACAATTTTAATAATAAAAAAGTGACGGTATGTTCCAAGGGCCTATGGCGAAATAGTATCTACAGAATAACTACATTTCTGACCGGACGGCGCGGTTCCCGGTTTTCCCCTCCTATTTTTCAATTAAAATGGGAATATAAAATTTGGGGGAAACAAAAGAAAAAAATTAAATGCACCAGCCGGGAATCGAACCCGGGTCTGTACCGTGGCAGGGTACTATTCTACCACTAGACCACTGGTGCATCGTTGCTATGGAGGTACCCAAATACTAATTATCCAATTACGTAGCATTGTTGACTGATATCTAACATTTCGATATGAGTATCTAAATTAAATTAGTATTAGTATTTCTTCTTCTTTGAACGGAACAAATTCATGAGTGGGATTTTGACGTTTGACCTCAGCCAATTGTAGCATTGTTTATTAATATCTAATTATTGATATATTGAACTTAAACTCTATTTAATTAAAGTTGTAATTAAGGATGTTCCTGAGTTGGATCCTAACATAGTATATTTTCATAGTATATTGAAAGGAGAATTGGTTCTTAAGAATTCTCTCTATTAATATACTTCAATCAATCGTACTCAAAGGGCAATTTCTTCCACTAATTAAAAGTTCTTTTATTTAAATTAAATTAAAAAAAAGGAATGAATTGGGAACATTCCAAGCCCAATTTCTCTCTATTGGCACCATTTGCAGGCTGTGGAAGACTCCAAAGACCACGTCTCATTCTCAAACCCATTACTAATTTAGTATTAATTACTTAATTAAAATAACTAGACGATTAGGTCAATACTCATTCAAGGTAGATTTTGAATAATTTGACTCATAATCCCAACATGAAATATTGATTTAAGTATTTATGCGCACAATTATTTTCTAGAGTCTTTGGTCATACCAGTTACTTCGTTCATTCGAGAAAATTGTCATATATCTCAAATGTTGTGAGTTCGATCTTCCATCCCCGACATGGACCTGTTGTACTAAAAAAATAATTACTTCGTCGACTCTAATTTTTATTTTTAGCTTTATACTATTTACATTAACATGTAAAATGCAATATGCTTAATTAATTCGTTATTTGACATATATATATATATATATGTATCCTGTGTTTCAACTCTATTTTTCAGTTTGAAATTTTACGTTTCTTTTAATATATCGAAATATTATATCTTTTTTTACCTTAAAATTTCATATAAGTTTTTAAATTTGAATCTTTGTGGTTAATTTAACCGTAGTAGAAATAATGTAGGTCAGTTCAACAAGTTTGTCACATTATTATTGAAATATGCAATTACATGTAAATATTAGAAAATTAGAAGGGAAGGAAGATAAAAATTGGAGTGTTCTTTTTTTAGTTCGTTCTTTTTTTTTTGAAAAAATATCCCGGAACTATTTCATTAAAATATGTGAGAAACATAAAAAAGAGGAGGCTATGAAATCGCTCCAATTAAGCGATATATATCATAGTTAAAAAAAATGTTACAAAATTAATACATCCCAAAAATTGGAGTGTCATAAGTGAAATAATGACCGATATGAATATATATATCACATGTATATAAAAAGACTAAAGCATAAGTGGTGGGGTAACTTCTTTTGTAATTACAATATCTCTATCATTCTTCTTAATTGGAGCGTGTTTATTTTACCCTCTCTCTTATATATTTGTATGTTCCTTATGTTTCTTTTTGGATCAAATGATTCGGTATCTTAAAAAAAAAAAAAGTGGTAGGGGCAACCCAAACAACAGTCTGAGACCTTCCTGAATCAAAATTCAATGCCCAAACAATTTAATTTAGACACATATTGATTTTGAATCTTATGAAAAATTACTTCAATTTTTGAAATATATTTCATTTTATCATACATATATAATTAATTAAAACCCTCGCACGTATTCCACTTCTATTAGCAACTGTAGACCATTTTGATTTTTGAAAAGAATCACCATACCATTCATTCAAAAAGTAAAATAAATAAATAAAAAGTCTAAATCAAAGCACTTAAGTTTAGAGAAATGGTAGAGTATATTGTTTTGATTAGTATTGAAATCGCAATATTTTTGACACAAATCAGTTGAAAAACTCCATAACTAAATTTAATTAGATGAACGGAACAAAACCCTATTGATCAAGTCTCATTTTAGTCTTCAAACTAACAAAACTGACTTCAAATTAAATCTCTCAAAAAAAAACAATTAATGTCCATTGAGCAAAACAAATGGACCGAGTGAACACTCAAAAAACAAAGAAACTATATGGGGATTGAAAAGAAAAAAAAGAAAAGAAAAAGAAAAAAAAAGAGTAACATTTCTTGAAGAATTTCCAACAACATGGGCACGCCAACCACATGCAATCATCGGAATAAATGCTGTCCTAATTACTTCAAATTTACAAAATGTTGTGTGTTTATATAATCATGTCAAGAAGGAGCCTTGTGATGCAAAACAACTTTGCCATATGTATACTTTTAATCGCCCAAAGTATATATATGAATATTCAACCTCAAGTTTCGAATTTGACCATAAAAAAAAAGAAGAAAGATATATATACCAAAATGGATAATCAATAAAAGAGAGATTCAATGAATACCAAGATCAATCTTGTACACTCAATACAAAAAGAAGAAAAGGAAAAAAAAAAAAATAATCCCCCTGTGAATTAAAGACCCTCGAAACAAAGTTCAGGGCTCGAAAAATAATAACATGAACAAAATTAAAATGCAAACTTACATCGATCCTACGAAACATATAGAGGGCGGCGGAAGCAGCAGCGACAGGCAGACGGCGGCGATATACATTCATGTATCTGTATAATCCCAATTTGTGTAACTGCTTCCTTATTCCAAAATTCTTTGCGAGATATATGACCCAAAATCAAATAATGCTCTCTCTTGGAAAAGAAAATATAAATCCACGGCTATACACACAACAATATTAAAAGAGAAGAAAAAATATATATAGATTACTGCACACACAGATTTATATGTGTATATATATTATGGCGTAGGTTTTGAATTTCCATGGCGAAAACATTGAGAATTACTACCGATCATGGCCGAGGCGGAGCTCCAAATCAAGTTCATCTTCTTCGGCATTGGGTTCCGATGCGTTGTTTTGTGAGTGGGACGCGCCGGGCAAGCGCGTGGAGAGGCTCATGGTGGTGGTCCAATTCTCGGCCACCTTGAATGCATTCAAAACCTGCGGATTGCACAATTCATCGCCTGAGGCAATTGTGGGGCCCAGACACCAGGTGGGGCCCACGGCACGGAAGTCCGGCGAAGGCATGGAAAGGGCGTGATGCGGTGCGGGATGGGTCGTGGTGACTGGGTTGGGGCGGAGAGTGGAGGCGGAGTTGGAGGCGGCGGCGGGAGGCGAGGGTTTGGTCTTGACTCGGTCTTTGCGGTGGATGTTCATGTGGCCGCCCAGGGCCTGAGCCGTCGTGAACCCGCGCTTGCAGAACACGCACTCGTAGGAGCGCCCCGTGCCCATGTCGTTGCTGGCGTGGTCCGATTCGTCGGCGGCGCTCGAGGAGTTTTTTTTGGAGTCGTCGTCGGCGGTGGCGGAATTACCAGAAGGGTTATGGTCCATGAAGGCTGATAATTCCCAACATAGAGACAGACACAGAAATTGAAACGACGCTATTATAGAGAGAGAGAGAGAGAGACAAATATAATACTTAGGTTTTGTCTATAAGGAGATATGAAGAAGAAGAAGATCAAGAAGAAGAAATTAAAAGTGTGGGAAATATTTTGCTGAGACGACGACAGCCATTAGCTTGCCGGCTCTTGGTGTATTCATCTTTTGGAGACACAATTATTTTTCTTTAATAATCCTCGTTTTGTCTTCAATCAACCACCCGTATGACATTTCTTACCACCTTCTTTATTCATATAAAAATATCTTAAATTATAACTCTATATATTTTAGATGTATATACCGTAAAATTAGAAGTTTGAATCTCCCTTTCATAGAGAAAAAATAATTAAATTAATATTTTACTTTATCATTAGTTTATTTTTTGATCTTACAATATTGTAAATGTCAGATGGTAAATGTTTTTAACCAAAAAAAATTGATCACAATTACAAATGATTCTGCAAAACAATGAGTTAGAAATCTGAAGTTTTTGTCAGCATAGGATTATAGGGAGTAAAATTTCCATTTGAAATGTTTATGTACCTCTTTCTTTTATTATAGGCGAAAATATGGTTGGATGGTTACCTTCCAAATTTGGGTGATTAGTTCAGTAACCTTGATGGAGAGTTCAAGTTCGGAGATTCCCCATTCATTATTTTCGAACTTGCTTCATTAGAGATATACGTGAAGTCAAGCCGTTGATTGAATGATGACGTGTCTTCTAATTAAATTCAGACTTTCATAAGTTAATTTTGAATTTTGTGTCGTTAACAACTAGGTCTCTGTTGCAAAATGTTTTAACTTGATTAAAATTAGTTAGTAGAATTATTAGAAAAAAGCAAAATAGTGAAATTTTAGAAACCAAATTGTCCCTCGCATCCACACACAGAGAGTTGGTCAAAATTTTCTTTTATTGAATTTTATAATATAGGCTCAAACCGACATGGCTTTATTGAAGTTATCGCAGCTATATTATAATGAATAAAGCTACTATATATTTCTACTATTGTTTGACTAGGGTTAAGTTGTTTGACAGCTTTATATACTATTACTTATTTTAGTAGAATTATTTTTCAGTCTCATTTTAATTAATATCTCAAGTGATGATCATGAGAGTTGTTTGGTGTTGGATGAACTTATATATAAGTCTACGAAGAGGATATATCATGATGTTATTCGAAGAAAAATTACCTAAATTTTAGCTGGATTTAGTGGTTTGTTTGTGAGATGGATTCTACTGTTTTTTTTTCCAATTATTATGTGCGTGTATTTTTAAAAATGTAATATTACTATTGTACCCGTGTGTAAATTCGAAAATTCAACCTATAGACTAATCAATAATCATGGGTTCGATTCATTGGTCCAAATAATAATCGAGATAAATTCTAAAGAATTTAAAGGGAAATCATGGTCGCCACCTACGAAGGCTTAATATCCTATGAGTTTTTGAAGTGGACGTAAGTTGACTCAAACACTCACGAATATTTGGAAAAAAAACTTATTGATGACTAAAAAAAAAAGGGTAAAATAGCCCTCGGTAAAAATATTTTTCAGAAGTACATATATATATTTTTTATTTTGTTGATCAACAGTTATTAAGTAATTCTAATATAATTTGTAGTGGGTGGGTGTAAAAAGAAATAATTAATACGTATAAGCATGGAAGGAAAAATGTATTCAATACACGTAGGAGACACATTCTTGAACAAGCTGCTTTTCAAAAGCAATAGATTTTGATCTATGATGAATTCTGTTTAACAATAAACATATTCATATGTTATTTATTTAATTATAACCGCAAAACAAAGTTCGTGATCAACTGTTTTTCTTTATGTATACTGTCAATTAATTGTTTACTAAAAGATCATTTATATGAATTACAAATAATTATAGAGGAAAGAAAGGTTAAAGAAAATTTAAAAAGTAAAAAAATTGCTGCTAACTTGGTATGTACTTCTAATTTGTTGTAATTGGACATTATACGGTTTCACCAAATATTGAATCATAAGGTATAGAGTATAATGAAAAATGATTTTATGTATGCTTTGATTGTCAGCAAAGGGAAAGAATTCTCCTCTAAACATCAGCTTTCTCCCATGTATAATACAAATGATTATGAGACCAACCATTTTCAAGCCTTGTTAAAAGATGGACACCTTAATTTCTTTAATGAATCAACTTTAAAAGGCCAGCAGTTAGTATTAGTTCTAAAGATCGTTTTGTAACGTTCTTGTTTCTGTTTCTTCATTTGTAATAAAGAAAAATGAATTACATGACCCCAACATCTATAAATTCAAATCTGATAAGACAATCTTTTTATTTTGTTTCGGAACAAATTAGGAATGAGAACAACTGTTTTGGTTGTTTCCAAAATTTCTATAAAATTTTGAAAATGTTATCAAAAAGGGAGAAACAAGAAATATATTTAGTTGCAAAATGCTTAAATTTCTTAAGAAAAAAAAAAAGAAACGAGAAACAAGAAATGAGAATATTATATAACTCTCAAATTCTAAGATTTATACTCTCCGATTACTAATCCAGTGGTATGGTTTACATTTTAGGTCTAGGGTTTTCCATTTCTATATTACAGTCATTATAGTATTTTTTTTTCCTTCTCTACTCAGATTTTTCTTTATTAATTAAAGGGGGTTTTTCCCATTACAGTCATTATGGTGTTTTTTTTTCGTTTTCCTTTTTTTTTTTTTTTAAATTATGCTAGCGTTTCATCAAAAAGCCCTATTGTAAATAAATTAAATTATAGCTGTCTTTATATGCAGAAGCCTTTTTAATGGAAAATGGAGCATTATATAAAGATATATATAGGAAATTAACAGTAGAGTCTATAACTTTTGTCCTCAGACTTTTGATCATACAATGATTTTCATTCATAACAAATTCAACAGTCTTCTTGAAAGGGGAATTGAGAAATTTCTCTCTCTGTTGAGTTCATGTGTATTATTATTGCATGCATATGCAATTATGTTGCTTATATTATTCCATAGTTGCATTGATATTGCAGGCCAACATATCTATAAAGTTTGATTGTGTTAGGTTATATAATCAATCATATTTAATTAATTTTTTGATTCATATATGGGTGACATTAGAGTTTGGCACTATTAGAAACATTTTTTTTAATTAATTAAAAAAAGTATTGCTAAATTATATATATGTATGTGTGTATTTGCGCTTTTGATTAATTTATTAGTTAGGAAAATTAGAAATTTTAGGAAACAATCAAACGAGTCTTTTCAAAATTATATTTTTAACCCCACAACAAATTAAAGTAACTATTTTATATATTCAAATAAGAGATTAAAAAATAGTTTAAATATTCTACTTTTAAAAGTTTAAAGAGTTTACAAATAATATAATAGTCAGAAGACTCGGAACTAAGATCTTGATTCCCTACTCGCAATCCAAATAGAAAAGAATTGGAATGAGAAATTTATTCCTTATTTACTATAAATTTTGGAATCGGAATAATTTTTTTTTTGATATTATTTACTAAAACAGTCTAGATTTGAAATAGGAATATGAGAATTATTAATATATCCCTTTCTTATTTATAACTAATTATAAATACATTATTGTACCAATCTTTTTTAATTAACATAATAATAAGTTTTGATTCATTTTATTGAAACAAATATTCTTTTTATTATAATAAATTTTTTAATATTAACCTTTCATAATAATTAAAATAAGATACATCAACTAAAATAACTTTGATGAGAAGAACCACTATTTTGAAGAATGTATTGATATTAATGAATAATAATAAGGTCAAATTAATTAATTAATAGAAAATTGGTAAGATTTTAAGGGTAAATTGCAAAAACCACCCCTGAAGTATGGTAGTTGTTACAATTTAACTCTTAAACTTTCAATTGCAACCTCTAAACCCTCAAACTTTCATAAATTAAAAAATTAGACCCCTAAATTTTCAATAGTAAAAATTAAAGCCCTGAGCTCCCATGATAAAATTAAACCATAAAATTGTTAAAAAATAAAAATAAAAATGTGAAAGAAAAATTTAAATCAAAATTTCGAACACAGCAACGATCACAAACCAAATGTATGGGCTCCAGTAACGATCTTCTTAGGGAGTCGGAGAGTCCAAAATTAGAAAATTCAGTTCCAACAATGAAATGCCCAACAAATCCAGAACTTGAAACGCTTAAAAAAAAGGCCAGAATCCAAAGTTAGTTTGAAAACTAAAAAAAATATTTGATTTTATAATAAGATACTAATTCATAAAATAAATGATTGAAATATAAAAGATAAAAGAATTTTAGTCCCAAAAAATAGGTCAATGGATTGATCGAACATGCCCAAGAGCTTGAATCTAATCGAAAAACCGAATTCCAAGTATAAAACTCTGATCCCAGTTAAACAAACCAGACAAGGATCGAAAATTTCCAACATTGAATTTTCAAAAAATGATACCCAAAATAGTGTGAGGTGTTAAGAAAGAGAAGCCAGCGATGAAAAGGGAGTTATGGGAGAGGAAAATGAGGTTTTCTTCCAATCGGATTTAGAGATGAAGGTGAAGAAAGTTTCTAGGCTTGGTGGTGGCAGTGGTTGAGCATTATGTGGATGTGGAGAACAGACATGAATAAGAGACATCTTTTTCTTCTTTCTTCAAATTGTAGGGTTTAATTTTTACACTTGAAAATTTAGGGGTCTAATTTTTTCATTTATGAAAATTTGAGAGTTTAATTTCTACATTTGAAAGTTTAAGGGTTCAATTGTAACAACAATCATAATTTAGGGGTGTTTTTTTGCAATTTACCCATATTTTAATAATAAAATTATGTCAACTGATACAAGTTGTATATAATTTCTTTTAGAAGAAAAATTATTAATAGTATAAATAAAAAATAACAAAAATGTAAAACAATTAATTTTAGAGATGAGAAACCATTTCATTGAGAGGATATGTGAGAAAC